TATTTAAAACACTGAAATACGTTTTGCTAAGAAAACCAACAGCTCCACAAAAGTAATGTATATCATTTATTTTTATAGTTATTTCTTTAAAATAGATATTTCAGATACACCAAAATTATTGAAAATCATAATATGCCCCAATGTGCCACCTAGGTTTCAAAGGTTAACGTTTTGCCACATGTGCCTTAAATTCTTAATGACATGAAACCCTCCAAACTCGGTGGTGAGTCACCCTCCCTGCCCCAGCATACTTCATCCTTTCCTTGACTCTTTTTAAGAGCACGTACATTCTTCAGCGTTTTCTAACTTTTACTGTATCTCTATATTTGTAAACTATATTTATAGTTACATAGTTCATACATAGTGTGTTGTGCATTTTAAAAAGATACACTCACACAGTGCAGTGTGTCCTTTGAACCCGTGTTTTTACACACACATTTGAGATTTGAGTTGCATGTAAAACTACTTCCTTTTAGCTGCTGTGTGCTTCCCCTGTAGCTCAGTAAGTAGAGTCTGCCCACAATACAGGAGACCCGGGTTCGATCCCTGGGTCAGGAAGATCCCCCAGAGAAGGAAATGGCAACCCACTCTAGTATTCTTGCCTGGAGAATCCCATGGACAGAGGAGACTGGCAGGCTACAGTCCATGGGGTCACAAGAGTTGGACACAACTTAGGATACCATTGGTCTGAAATATCCCATAGTTTATTTAGATACTTCATATGTATTATTTGTCACCAAGCACTGTTTTCATCTCTGATTCAGAGCAGGTATTCAAACCCAGCTTTCTCTAATTCCATCAAGCAATGCATTCAATAAATACTAGGAAGATAAAATTTTAAAGAATGAGCTTGCAGACTGCCTGCTATATCTCTGGGATCTAAATGTAAAGGAAATTGGCTGTCCATCCTCTTGGCAAAGCAGGATCAGGTCAGCCTTGTCTTGCTGGGAGAAGGGGGTTGGTATGGGGCTACACTGCAGGAGGCCCCAGGACCCCAGGGGTGGTGGGTTAGCTACCTGAGATATTGGCTGAAGGGGTAAGCAAAAGATCCTCTCTTTATGGATAACAAATATTGGGGAATCAATGACATTAAAAAAATTAAAGTGTACTTAATTTATAATGTTGCCTCAGTTGCAAGTGTAACAGCAAAGTGATTCGGTTATACATTTGTTGTTCAGCTGTTCAGTCGTGTCCAAGTCTTTGAAACCCCATGGACTGCAGCACGCCAGGCTTCCCTGTCCTTCACCATCTCCTAGAGCTTGCCCAAACTCATGCCCATTGAGTCTGTGATGCCATCCCACCATCTCATCCTCTGTTGCCCCCTTCTCCTCCTGCCTTCAATCTTTCCCAGCATCACGGTCTTTTCCAATGAGTCGGCTCTTCACATCAGGTGGCCAAAGTATTGGAGCTTCAGCATCAGCATCAGTCCTTCCAATGAATATTCAGGATTGATTTCCTTTGGGATTGACTGGGTTGATCTCTTTGCTGTCCAAGGGACTCTCAAGAGTCTTCTCTAACACCACAGTTTGAAAGCATCAATTCTTTGGCGCTCAGCACTGTTTATTGTCTAACCCTCACATCTGTACATGATTACTGGAAAAGTCATAGCTTGGCTATACAGACCTTTGTTGGCAAATTAATGTCTCTGCTTTTTAATACGCTGTCTAGGTTTGTCATAGCTTTTCTTCCAAGGGGCAAGTGTCTTTTAGTTTCATGGTGCAGTCACCATCTACAGTGATTTTGGAGCCCAAGAAAATAAAATTCTGTCACTGTTTCCACTGTTTCCCCATCTATTTGCCATGAAGTGATGGAACCTGATGCCTTGATCTTAGCTTTTTGAATGTTGAGTTTTAGGCCACCTTTTTCACTCTTCTTTCACCTTTATCAAGAGGCTGTTTGATTCCTCTTCGCTTTCTGCCATAAGGCTGGTGTCATTTGCATATCTGAGGTCATTGATGTTTCTTCTGGCAATCTTGATTCCAGCTTGTGCTTCTTTCAGCCCAGGGTTTCTCATGATGGACTCTGCATGGAAGTTAAATAAGCAGGGTGACAGTGTACAGGCTTGATGTACTCCTTTTCCTATTTGGAACCAGTCTGTTGTTCCATGTCCAGTTCTAATTTGTTTCTTGACCTGCATACAGGTTCTGCAGTAGGCAGGTAAGGTTGTCTGGTATTCCCATCTCTTGAAGAATTTTCCACAGTTTGTTGTGATCTACACAGTCAAAGGCTTTAGCATAGTCGGTGAAGCAGTAGTAGATGTTTTTCTGGAATTCTCTTTCTTTTTCTATGATCCAATGGATATTGGCAATTTGATCTCTGGTTCCTCTGCCTTTTCTAAATCCAGCTTGTATATCTGAAAGTTCTCAGTTCACATGCTGTTGAAGCCTAGCTTGAAGGATTTTGAGCATTAATTTGTTAGCATGTGGGATGAGTATAATTGTGCAGTAGTTTTTACATTCTTTTGTGTTGCCCTTCTTTGGGATTGGAATGAAAGCTGAGCTTTTCCAGTCCTGTTTTTTCCAGTCACTGCTGAGTTTTCCAAATTTGCTGGCGTATTGAGTGCAGTGCTTTAACAGCATCATCTTTTAGGATTTGAAATAGCTCAGCTGGAATTCAATCACCTCTACTAGCTTTGTTCATAGTGATGGCTTCCTAAGGCCCACTTGACTTCACACTCCACGATGTCTGGCTCTAGGTGAGTGATCACACGATCATGGTTATCTGGGTCATGAAGCTCTTTTTTGTATAATTCTTCTGTGTATTCTTCTTAATATCTTCTGCTTCTGTTAGATCCATACCATTTCTGTCCTTTTTTGTGCCCATCTTTGCATGAAATGTTCCCTTGGTATCTCTAATTTTCTTGAAGAGATCTCTAGTCTTTTCCATTCTATTCTTTTTACTGTTTCTTTGCATTGTTCACTTAAGGAGGGACTTCTCTATAGCCCAGATGGTAAAGAATCTGCCTGCAGTGCAGGAGACCTGGGTTCAGTCCCTGGGTTGGGAAGATCCCTTGGAGAAGGAAATGGCAACCCACTCCAGTGTTCTTGCCTGGAGAATCCCACGGACAGAGGAGGCTGGCAGGCTGCAGTCCATGGGGTCACAAAGAATCGGACACGACTGAGTGACTAACACACACACTTAAGAAGGCCTTCTTACCTCCTCTTGCTCTTCTTTGGAGCTCTGCATTCAGATGGGATAGCTTTCCTTTTCTCCTTTGGCTTTTGCTTCTCTTCTTTTCTCAGCTATTTGCAAGGCCTCCTCAGACAACCATTTTGCCTTTTTGCATTTCTTTTTCTTGGGGATGGTTTTGATAACCAGTTCCTATACAATGTTGTGAACCACCATCCACATTTCTTCAGGCACTCTGTCTATCAGATCTAATCCCTTAAATCTATTTGTCACTTCCATTGTATAATCCTAAGAGTGTGTATACAGTAGTGTGTATGTGTTAATCCCCAAAGTCCCAATTCATCTCTTCTCTCCCTTGCTATCACCTTGGGTAACTATAGGTTTGCTTTCTGTTTCTGTGGGTCTATTTCTGAATTGTAAACAAGTTTACTTGTATCATATATTAGCTTCCACTTAGAAGTGATATCATGTGATATTTGTCTTTGTCTGATTTACTTTGCTTAATGTGATAATGTCTAGGTCCCTCCACTTTGCTGTAAATGGCACTGTTTCATTCTTTTTTATGACTTGGTAATATTCCATTGTGCATATGTACCATGTCTTCTTTATTCATTCCTCGTTGATGAGCACTTAGATTCCTTCCATGTCTTGGCTATTGTAAATAATGTGGCTGTGAACATTGAGGTACATGTATCTTTTCGAGTTAGAGTTTTCTCTTGATAACAATGGTATTTTTTGAGGCCTGAAAGACTCTGAGGGACAGGGAAAGGTTTTAAAGGAAGTGTGGGTCAAGGGCCCAGGGCTAAGGACCTAACAATCCGGCAGGGGAGACGAAACGAGCATGAAACAGAACAACTGGGTGTGGAACAGCTTGCTGTGTGCTGTGCCCCTTTGTCATGTTTACAGAAACGAAATACCCTCTTTTTTCCTGCATCTTGACTTCTGCTTCAACAATACCTTCTGGAAATACTTTCAAGGCATCTAGTGCAGAACAAATTTATTTTAAAAGACCATATAATATTCCATGTTATGGACATACCATCATGTATTTACTATTCTGTTATTAATGGATCATCTCCTTTTTTGCTGTAATTGGCTAAACGCTGTAGCAGTTAATGTCCTCATACCATGCATATGTCCCTATGTGCTCAGATTTCTGCAGGAGAGTCTACCAAGATTGGCATGGTTGCAGATGAGGGGGTATGTATTTCTAATTTTAATAGATGCTGCCTTATTGCTTTCTAAAAAGGCTAGAATTCATACTCCACCCCCCCCCCAACCAACATATAAGTGTCCCTTCCCCACATGGTCACTTCTAATGGTTATAAAACTCCTTTTAAGTGTCTGACATCGTTACCCATTTCTGTGGCTACTAGGCAATATAAATGTCTTTTTGGAAATTGTTGGTTATTTTTACTGTTTCATCTACTGCTCATCTTTTGCCTGGTTGTTATTATTACCCTTTGGGTTTTTCCCTTGGTTAGTTTGTGAGAGCTGTTTATATAGAATCGATATCAACTCTTTGTCATCTTGTGTTACGAATATCTGGACCAGTGATTTCATTTGTCTACTGACTTTGCTTACCAGCCAGTTCACTGAAGGATGATAGCGGCAAACTGTGTTTCATCAGCTCAGAGAACACCCTAATTTGTTCCATAAGTTAACCAACCTTTTGGATGGATGAAGTGTGAGGTCCATGGGTAAGATGCAGTCTCCTCGTTGATGAACGTGGTAGCTCACTGCATTAGCTGTGAGCTGATTTTCTATCACTTAATGCTTTTCCAAGGTTCTTCAAACCACAGGGAGACATACCTGCTTGTATGCCTGATGTAGAGGAAAACACAGCTGATCTTTGAGCCACACTCAGCCAGTCTCTCTTGTCCTTATGGGAAAAGAGCCCTGAAATACTGTATCGTTTTTTCTTTTCTAGAAGTCACATCATCCTCAAAGCCTCATCCGCCTGTTGTGGGCAAAGTGACTCATCACAGCATTGAGTTATACTGGGATCTGGAGAAGAAAGCAAAGCGGCCGGGGCCCCAGGAGCAGTGGTTCAGGTTTTCTATCGAAGAAGAGGACCCCAAACTGCACACTTATGGTATCATTTATACGTAGGTGCAATGTTGAATTGCTTAATATTTTGCTTTGGTTTCTCGATTAGCTGGATTGGTTTCTGTTGTCTCCAAGAAGACTCGTTTTTTGAAATTAAAAGGATGAGAGAGCATCATTTGCATTCATTCTTTCTGTGAAGGATGAATTTCAGAAAAGAAGGGTGAGCAGTCACTTTGAAATTAAACCGCCTAGACCTCTGAGAGCTCTGTAGACTTCTGAACTATTCTAATGGTGTATATTTCAAATCCAAAATGTGGAGACAGAATCAGAGGAGAGTTGGATGAAACTGCATGAGGTTCCCATCAGGCTGCCCTGGGCACAGGCGTGACAACTCCCTGACACTTATGTTGCATCACTGGTCCCTCACTGGCTCTTCCAACCCACCTGCTACCTCCCTCTCACCTCCATCAGGGCCTGGCTTTTCGCCTTCCCCTTGAATGTGTTCCCTTCTGTTTTTATTTGTTTTATTTTTTGTGGCTGCATTGGATCTTCATGGCTTTGCACGGGCTTTCACTCGTTGTGGCGAGTGGGGGGCTGCTCGTCTTTGCAGTACGCTGGCTTCTCATTGAGATGACTTTTCTAGTCGCAGGGCACAGGCTCTAGGCATGCAGGCTCAGTAGTTGTGGAGCATGGGTTCAGTACTTGCAGCACACAGGCTTGGTTGCTCAGCATGTGGGATCTTCTGGGACCAGGGATCGAACCCATGTCCCCTGCTTTGGCAGGCGAACTCTTGTCCACTCCGCCACCGGCGAAGTGCTCCTTCTGTCCTTAACACAGCTGGTTCCTCCACACCACGCATGTGTCATATCAAATACTGGCCCCTCCTGCAAAGGCTCCCCGAGGTGGCCGTCCTTCCAGCCCGCTCTCCTCCCGGCGGTGACCTGGCTTCATCCTCTCATGGTCTCTTGACTCTTGGTCTCTTTGCTCTTGGTCTCTTCATTTCCTGTCCCCCCACCCCAGCATCTGAGCTCCACGAGAGGCAGGTAAGATTCCTGCTTTGCTTCAGACTCTCTCGCCAGCTCCCAGACAGTGTCGGCACATAGGAGGCGCTCAAAACACCTGTATCAGGAAGTCATTTTTCACCCCCCCTCCCTTAGCTTTTACTTCAGTCCTTATTTCTTCCTTTGCCAGCTCTACTGCTAGTAAAATGACTTCGTGTTTCAGGAAGAAGACTGAAAATGAGGAACCAGTATGGTTTTATATTAAACTTTTAATTTTGACATAATCGCAGCTTCACATCTGGCTGTGAGGAATCCTACGGAGCGGTCCCGCGAACCTCTTACACTTTCCCCAGTGGGGGCGTCAGGGAAACCACAGGGCGGAGTCATAGCCAGGATCCTGGCGATGGTGCCGTCGCGATGCAGAGCAGCTGCAGCGCTTGGCTGGGCTTCGCTCAAGGTGGCATTGTGGTGGGGGCGCATACCCAAACCACGGTGTGCTTGCGGTTTGATGATTGATTCTTTGTGCCTAGGAGAAAAAAGAAAAAAAAAAAATATATATATATATACACACACATATATATACACACTTACCCGAGAAAAACAAACCCACCGCAAAGCATGAATGATGATGTAACAAGAACCCTGTGTAGAGGGAAAATGTCCACTGCCTTTCCTCCTGTCTCTCCTGCTGCCGTGAGCCGAGCTTGGAGACGCCAGGTGGGACTCTCCTAGGGCCCTTTACTTCCCGCCTCCATATCGCCTTTGCTGGGTGGTCGGTCATGTCCACTGGCCCTCCAGCCTGGAGAGAGACCTGAGTGCTGTCTGGCCTGGAAGCTCGCCTGGCGTTGCAGGACCTGCTCCGAGGCCTTCAGACCCCCAGCCCTGAGCCACGGCTGTGACGCTCAGGCTGTCTCAGAGGATTAGCACAGCCTTGACACTAGGTGGCAGAGTGAGACCGCGCTAATCTGGAGCTCTTTCCTCGGGTCCATCCCTTTCCCCCCTGCTGTATCGTTAAAACTAGGACGTGCCTTCCTTTAAAAAGCGGTGATCTAGACTCCCCGACCCCGGACTTAAGAACTTTGTTTCGACACGTCAGTTTCTGTCCTTCTGCCCCACCAGCCAGTCTAGGATCGGGGCTGTCGTCCTTGACGCGGGCGCTCCTTCTCGCAGCCCGTGATCAGGCTTCTGTGGGTTCTCCCTCTGCACATCCTTTATGTGCTTCCTCTCGTTCGACTCCGGCACGCCCCTTGCTAGGTTGCACGGAGGATGCTTTCTGAGTTGTCACTGCTGAGTGCCCAGGTCCTCCCGCTGTCCGCAGTGGCTGACGCCATTGTCCACATCCCTCTGTCCTTTGCTTCAGTCTTGCTTGTTCATTCTGTTCTTTAACCTTCCTTTTGTCACGCTGTCTGCAATGCGTTTCCATTGCTTGCAGGATGAAGGTCAGGCTCCCGCAGGCTAACATTTGATGCGCTTCAGTCTGCCCACCACCTGCCTTTCTTCCTGTCTCTTATTTCTGAGCATGAAGCTTCCATTGAAATCTGCTTCACTTCCTTGGACGATGATGCCTTGACTTTTCTTGCACGTGTGTTCAGCTGTTTTCCCTGTTCAGACCAATCTCCCCCCGCTCCATCCTTCCCTCCATCCAAGTCAGGTTCTCTCTTGACTGAGATGTTCCCTTTGCTCTCCTATTATCTACCCCTCTAAATTCCTCCAGTAGTCATTTCCCCTATTGTGCATTTCATTCGGAGAAGGCAATGGCACCCCACTCCAGTACTCTTGCCTGGAGAATCCCATGGATGGAGGAGCCTGGTAGGCTGTAGTCCATGGGGTCGCGAAGAGTCGGCCACAACTGAGCGACTTCACTCTCACTTTTCACTTTCCTGCACTGGAGAAGGAAATGGCAACCCACTCCAGTGTTCTTGCCTGGAGAATCCCAGGGACGGCAGAGCCTGGTGGGCTGCTGTCTATGGGGTCGCACAGAGTTGGACACGACTGAAGCGACTTAGCAGCAGCAGCAGCATTGCATTCATTCAATCAATCAGCACCTACTATGTGCCAGGCATTGTTCTGGTTGCTGGGGATACAACACTGCACAAACAGACCCTAATTCCTCCCTTGTGATAAGGAATAGGAATGATAAGGAAGGGAGAGAAGTGAAAACCAAGAGTGTGTCGGATGGTGGTGAGTACCAAGGAGGAAAAGCCGGGAGCTTGGCGTGGAGGTGAAGAAGGCTTCACTGATCGTGACATCTGTGTGAAGGAGCAAGGGAGGGGTATCTGTGAGTGTCTGGAAGAACGTCCCGGGCAGAAGACACAGCTGGTGAAAATGCCTGGAGTTCCAGAAACGCTGAGCAGTGGAGTGAATGAGAGGGGTGTCGGGCTGGGCCAGGGAGGAGACCCCCGGGGTCCCAGGGGCTGCCCCTCTGCCAGGGGAGAAGCCACCGGGCCCCGTTAAACTGTGGAGGGGTGTGGTGGTCTCGCCCCGGGAGGGTCACTCTGGCTGCTGAGGGAGGAGCCGAGGTCGCCACAGCAGGGAGACTAACTGGGGATTGTCTGTAATAATTTCGGTGGGAGATGACACTGGTGAATTCAGGGTTTTTAAAGACCATCTTGAAAACTTTTGCTGGTGGACCAGGCACGGGATGTGAGAGAAAGAGGCTAGCAGGGGGCATCTGTGGACAACTCGAGGTTGGGGGCACCACTGGGATGACATACAAGTTCGTGGGCTTTTGGAGACCTGGCATCCTAGAAAGTGTGGCGAGCTGGACACAGGCCCCTGGCCCTGCCTCCCGGCACCTTCTCCGAGTCCTGAGCCGGCAGCACGGCCGGCCTGCCTTTCCCGGGGCTCCTTTTGCGGCTCCAAGTGCTCTGATCGCCGCCTTTGCCTCCAGAGGCCTGCAGGTTTCCGTCACAGCCTCTAGCCAGCTTTCTGTTCTCCAAGCGCTCAGCACCCACTTCCCACAAACAATTCCCCACTGAGATGGACCGCAGGGCGTGACGGGAGCACCCTTCCTGCACCGCCCGTCTCCCCACGGCTGCTCCTCCTTCCTCACACCCTCTTCCTCCTCACGGCCCCTCCCTGCCCAGGGCATTTTGCCTCGTCCGCCTGCTCGAAACCCCCGCCCCAGGCAGCTCGTGTGTGCTCTCGGATTGCCGAGCTTGGCTTCCAGTTGTGAGACTTTGCCATTTGAGGACAGATATCATGGGTCAAGGTGATCGTCTGTCCACAGTACAGTAAGTCCCTTACGTACGAGTGGGGTCCGTTCCCAGAGCGAGTTGGTAAGTCCACTTTGTGAGTCCAGCAAAGGTAGCCTCGGTTCTGAACCAACACAGCCGGCTCCGGAGGACTAACAGGCTTGTCACGCTTTTCACGTGAATGATGCATAACTAAGCAAACAAAAGCACACAGGAGCACGGCCTCCTGTGGAGGGTGCACACACGTGACAGTGTACGCCAGACACATGAACTAACAACCGGCATGACTGGACACGTGAACACACGCTCATGTCTCTGCAAGTCCACAGCTTGGAGGTTCTCGTGTTGGGGCTTACTGTACACAGTCACGGGCCAACTGCGCGTCCGCCCTGCGGGAGGGAGACTGGGGTGGAGGGCACCTGGGGGGCAGGAGCGGACGCCTGGTTTGTCCTCTGTGCCCAGGAGTTCAGCCCAAGGTGAGCGACGGCCGGCCATCCAGGTGAGTTCCATACTGGGGGGGAGTCAGTGCTCAGAAATCCTTCCACCTGCCCTTCTAGTAGCTCGAGAGGACGCCGCCTCCATGACCTGCTGTCTTCACCGCGGTCTCCCTCCCGCCTAGGGGCTACGCGACCAAGCACGTGGTGGAAGGCCTGGAACCGCGGACCCTGTACCGATTCCGGCTCAAGGTCACCAGCCCCTCCGGAGAGCATGCCTACAGCCCGGTGGTCTCCGTATCCACGACCCGTGAGTATTCAGAACTCCGAAGCTCCTTTGTCTAACGGTGACCGGCCAGCGTGAAGGGGAAGACGCTCTGCTTTCTGCTCGGCCTGATCGGACGCAGAAACTGCTCTGTTTTTGAACGCCGCGATAACATTGTTCGTGGGCCGGGCCTGGCCATCCCACAAGGGAAGTCGCGTTATGCTTGAACAAACGTGAGACCTGTTTTTGTGCCGGCGCTGCCCTGGGAGGGCACATTCAGGAAGAAAGGGATGGAGTCACCTTTCTTAGGAAACGGGCTGGGAGGCATGTGGGCCGCCCCAAGGGGTTCCCAGGCCTAGAAGCAGGCTGCCCGCCTGGGTGACCTCAGGGGAGAGGCCCGCTTGGCATTTTGTCCCTTTGAGACAATGTCAGTGTATCGTCAAGACTGGACGCATAAACCTGGCTCCTGGGGATGCTGTGGGTGAGGACACACGGGGGCGGGGGGGGGGGGGGCGGCGAGAGGCCGCGTCTTCGCTCAGGGCCGATTTAGGAGTGCAAGTATTTTCTGTGATCATACTTTCTCTTTTGAAGGTTTATGTATTTTGGGCCGTGCTGGGTCCTCATTGATGTGCATGGGCTTTCTCAGGCTGCACTGTGTAGGGGTGACCTGTCATCACCGTGGCGGGCTTCTCACTGCAGTGGCCTCTCTTGCCGCAGAGCGCAGGTTCCAGAGCGCCCAGGCTTCTCTAGATGCGGCTCCCGGGTTCTAGAGCACAGGCTCAGTAGTTGTGGAGCACCGGCCTCGTTGCCCCGAGGCCTGTGGGATCTTCCCAGACCCGCGATTGAACCTGTGCCCCACTGGCTGGGCTTTTCTGGTGGCTCAGCTGGTAAGAATCCGCCTGCAATGTGGGGGACCTGGGTTCGATCCCTGGGTTGGGAAGATCCCCTAAAGAAGGGAAAGGCTACCCATTCCAGTGTTCTGGCCTGAGAATTCCATGCACTGTATAGTTCATGGGGTCACAAAGAGTCGGACACGACTGAGCGACTTTCACTTTCCCCTACACTGGCAGGCTGATTCTTCACTACAGTGCCCCCAGGGAAGCCCCGTGATCAGTATTTTAAAGCATTTTGAAGGTGTGTGTGTGTGTAATGCAATGACCTCTTTGAACTAGAATTCTGTGAAGATTAAAATGGTCAAAAGTGTTCCTGCCGGCCCACTCACTAAAACCTTTCCTCGGTTGCATAAAGGGAATCCTTCTCTTGTGAGTTAAATATTATTTCGCAGCTTCACTCAGTGTAGCATTTGGCTTGAATACGGGTGTGTAAGTCTGCAGTGGGTTTCAGTTGTGTCTGTAAGGCCTTTGCTCGTCTTCGTGTACAGGAAAGATCATTCAGATTTTGAGTTGGTTCATTAACAGCTTCCATTACATGGGGGCCATTAGGGGGTTAGGTTTTGGTTTAGCAAGCTGAGAATTTAGTTAAAGCTAAGGGTGGTGACATCGTGTACACCCCCTAAACGGTGCTCAGCTGATCGTGAAGAAATATAGTTTCAGAGAAGGTTTTTGACATGAAATGGTCAGTTCCGAAGATTGTGGTCAGAAAAGACGGCTTGGCCCTGAAGCTGGAGAGGATGAACGCACTTGCTTTTCTATGGAACCTGTTGAGCTCCTGGAGTGTTTTAGGGGAAAGAAAAGGCAGACTCTGTGTTAGTTCTTCGTGCACTAGGGGAAGGCACAGAGAAGGGAGGAGAGTAGAGAGGAGAAGAAGCATGGGCGAAGGGAGCCCATCGTGTGAAGAGGGGCTCCGGAGGCCAGGTTTGGGGCAGGCGGCTCCCCCAGGCCAGCGTTCAGCTCTCGGCCGCCCTCCAGTGGCTCCACCCCTGCGTTCTGGGGTTCCCTCCCCTCCACTCCTGGGCCTGTCAAGTCCACTCTGGGGGCAGAGCCCTGCTCCGGATGGGTCCTCGTGGGGCTGCCCCTGGCCTGCTGGGCGCTCGGGTCCTCCCCCAGCACAGAGCCGTGTCTCAGGGTCTCCCCACCTCTCGCAACACTCCATCGCCTCATTTTACAAAGCCACTCGTCTTCCCTGGCTCCCACCTCCTGTGTACTGAAGGCCGAGGGTGATGGGTTAGTCATGTCTAATTATAGAAGATCCTTAAGACACGCATGGGCGGATAGTGAACAAAATGCCCCTAGACAGAACGAGGAGGAGGAGGAGATGTTCTCATTGGCTCGACTTGCTTTCCTGTGTCTCAGGAGATGGGTCTGGTTCCCTCTGGCTGGGGAGACGCCCCTGAACTTGCCAGATGAGCGGAACTGGGAGCAGAGAGACCACTGGTGGCCGCTGGCATCCTTAGTATCCCACCCAAGCCAGGGCAGGGGCTCCTGGGCCTTGTGGCCGGAGGTTACGGGGAGTCAGGGCACCATCTGAAGTTCTTCTAGGAAGGCAGAGGACCCCTGCACCCACCATAGCTCTTGGTCTATCAGCTGACAATGGTGGTGTCTGCAAGCCAGGTGTGCCTTCTTGCCGAGTGGACTTTGGAGAGGCAGCCGTGGATAACTGGTCCGCTGGTCCACAGCCTTTGTCACTGCAGTCCACGGTTCTGTGGGTCGAGAGACAAGGCCTCCTGCAGAGATGGGGGTGGGCTGGAGACAAGGCTCCTGGTAAAGACGCCCCGGGAGCCGGGCTCCAGGTCACAGTGCACGCGCCTGCACCCAGGACGCACGCCAGGCCTCAGGGCCCTCTCCTGGGTGGGAAGGATCGGGCACCTCTTCCTTCTGGCTGGCAGCTGCTCGCTTAGGCTGTTACTGTAATATACAAAGCAGACTCTCTTAAGGAGGCAGATCATGCTAAACAAAGAATTAAAAATGTGCACATTATATAAAACAAGTGAAAATGCTTCTGTGGGTTGATAATTTGCATTCGGTTTGAAAGTGTTTTAATGAATCACAAAAGCATGTACTTTGAATAAAGGATGCTCAGCCTTTTTTTTTTTCTTCCCTTTCCCAGGTAAAGTACACGAGACTCTTGCTTAAATGAGGCATGCAATTTTAATCAGTTGGGCCCTTAAAAAGAAAGAAAAACAGCTGCTGCTTGTTAATTGGCAAATATTTTCCCCAATGAACTCATCATTTATTCACTGTTTTTAATAGAGACTTAAATTCCACCAGGAAAGGTGTTATCATGCTGCTTCAATATCTGCCGGGACATCTGCAGCTAAATGACCCTCCTAGAGAACGTGCTGAGGCTTCCCAAATGCTTCTCTGTCCCCTCCTCCTCCTGGCCAGGTATCCTCTCCCGAGGTCCTGCCTGACCAGTGCCACCAGTCTAACACACGTGGATGCCCACGGGTGTCTTCACCACCGGCGGCATCAAATCAGTATTTGGAATTGCGACACCCGAGGTCAACATCAGAGAAATAGACCCACAGATGCAAAGCCTGCCTTTGTCATGTTCCATTGCACATACTGATGGCAGTCCCTTGGACCAGGCCCACGGTGTCTTGAAGGGCTTGGGGGCGGTGAACTGAAACACTCTGCTCACCCTGGAATTTCCTCTCTGTTCTTCCTGACTCCTGCCTAGGGTGGGAGTGGGAGGAGCTGCTCTGCCCTGCAAAGAGGAGTGTTTGCATTTCTTTTCTGTTTCTCTGCCAATTCCTGTGACCAGCGAGACCTTTCAAGCCTTGGTGGTCCCTGTCGGGGCTGGTGGTCACACTTGGTACCTCTTTGCCTTCCTGGCAGGGCTCTGAGAGGGTCAGTGAGTTAATGCTGAGACAGAACTTCCATCCCTGATGACAGTTACTGCTTCCTTTTGCTGGAGCTCAGAGACCAGGGCGTGGTGAGCAACTGTGTTGTTTTCCTTCTCCTCCATGAGGTGTCCCTTTGTTCTCAGAATGAGTTCAGAGGGCTCTGATGACCCCTTCCAGAAGCTGGGACAGGCAGTGTGTTGTGTTAGCTGCTGAGTCATGTCTGACTCTTTGCGACCCCGTGGACTGTAGCCCACCAGGCTCCTCCATCCATGGGATTCTCCAGGCAGGAATACTGGAGTGGGTTGCCATCTTCTTCTCCAGGGGATCTTCCCGACCCAGGGATCAAACCTGTGTCTCCCGCATTGCAGGCAGATTCTTTGCCGTTTGAGCCTCCAGGGTACATTTATTTAAATTACATCCTAATATCATGATACCCTAGTCTCTGCTATGCATGGTCGTCAAGTGTTTAAGCGTGAAATGAACTTCCTTCATTTTCTGGTATTTGCCTGCCGCAGAGCTCCTTGGCTGGGACGGGGAGTGCCCACACCAGGAGAGGTGTGCTGGGGTGGAGAAGAGGGACGACGTGGACTGGAGGTGATCAGGGGGTACTGTGCTGGGGCTGTGTGTGCATTTTGGGCTTTCCTTCAAATCCCAAGAAGTCAATACATTTCTGAAGGTTCTAAGCTTTAGGCCTTCTGTTCCTCTTCACACTTGTTCATAGGTGTGTATTTAAGATGTCTGCTTGTATCCAGCATTTAGTAAGAGTGGAAGCCTAGAGTGGACTGGTCAGCTACGTCAGCATCTGTTGAAACCCCACACTCCTTCCTTGAATGACTGCCTTAGCCTTTCTTGTCCTGGTTTGTGGTCTTAAGGAGAATCTAAAAGGATCATGTAAAGTCCTAGACTCAGTTAATAGGATCGAATTAGGATACCGTACTTTAAAATTCAGTAGAAATAGGATGAGCTTCCTATGTTCTTTTAGACAATTCTGGAGAAGGCAATGGCAACCCGCTCCAGCAGTCTTGCCTGGAGAATTCCATGGACAGAGGAGCCTGGCGGTCTACAGTCCATGGGGTCCCAAAGAGTTGGGCACAACTGAGCGACTAATGCTGTTCCTATGTTCCTCTAAACGATTCCATGCAAATCATGTATTTTTGTGTTTTTAGTGGCAATTGAAGTTTGCGATTCACAGGGGTGGGGTTGTTCTGGTGCAATAACGGACTTACCCACCACACCATCCTTCTCCTTTCCAGGAAGGGAGAGGGAAAGGGAACTTTGGGTTTCATTTGCTCACTAAAGGATAGACCATTTTAAGTCCATCCAACTCTAGTGTTCAACTCAGCCTCTGCACCGTTGGCGTCTGGGGCTGGATAATTCACGCTGTGGGGCTAACCTGGTCTGCAGAGTGTTTAGAGGCACCCCTGACCTCCAGCCTCTAGATGCCAGTAGTACCAACCCTTCCTTAAGTTGTAACAGCCAGAAATATCACCAGACTTCACCACAAAGTCTGGTGCAAACCCCTGTGCCCTCCCATCGCCCCTCGTGAGACCAAGGGTCTCGAGATGACCTCTCTGCAAAGGCCAGGGCCAGCCGTGGGCCTTGTCCTCCGATGGCTTATCGTGCTGCTTTTCTTTAAGGCTCTGGGTCTAAAGCTATGTGTGGGACGATGAAAAGGAAGTATAACATAGCTGAGACACCTTGAGGAGACTGGCACGCTCAAGCAGACAACATGGCTGTTTCAAGAACAGTTTTCACTTGGCTTAAATTTATTTTACCGGAACAGAAGCAAGGGTATCAGCTGAAGGTCACTCTGATAGCGATGCATTCATTCCTCTGCCCCACTGTTTCCCGCCTGTACTGTGTCCAGGGAATCCAGCAGGAAAGCTCTCCAGTGCTGGGAGCTGGCACCCCAGACCGTTTCTCCACTGGCACCGGTGACCAGGGGCTTCTGCAGGCTGAGCCTAAGAGGGAGGGTAAGGTGTGGGGTGAGCCCCAGGAGGCAGCATGAGGTGCAACGCGAGAAGAGGGTTGCTGGGGATATTTTCTTTCAGAGTTGAGAATATAATGGCTGAAAGCCAGCCCCACAGCGTGAAGGACAGGAGAGGAGCCTGTGTGTGTCTCTCTCTCTGGTGCCCCCTAGACTGAAGACCGGGCATGGACATGACTTAATTCAGTCCAGTCGCTCAGTCGTCTCCGACTCTGCGACCCCATGGCCTGCAGCACTCCAGGCCTCCCTGTCCATCACCAGCTCCCCGAGCTTGCTCAGATTTATGTCCATTGAGTCGGTGACGCCACCCAATCATCTCATCCTCTGTCATCCCCTTCTCTTCCCACCTTCAATCTTTCCCAGCATCAGGGTCTTTTCTAAGGAGCCAGTTCTTCACATCAGGTGGCCAAAGTATTGGAGTTTCAGCTTCAGCATCAGTCCTTCCAATGAATATTCAGGACTGATTTCCTTTAGGATGGACTGGTTGGATCTCCTTGCAGTCCAAGGGACTCTCAAGAGTCTTCTCCAACACCACAGTTCAAAAACATCAATTCTTCGGCACTCAGCTTTCTTTATGGTCCAACTCTCCCATCCATACCCAACTAAGTTCTTTAGACATTTGTTAGATGAACGAGCCCTTTGAGATGACTGAAACCAGGGATTATCAGCTCGATGCCTGTGGGGGCAGGTGGGATGCTACTGTGTGTGGAAGGTTGGACATCAGGCAGAGGAGAAAGGTAGGCTGCTCGGGACCAGGGCACCTGCCACTCCGTCACTGTTACCTGCATGTGTGTATGTGCTCGGTCGTATCCGACTCTTCGCGACCCCATGGACTGTAGCCCGCCAGCCTCCTCTGCCCATGGAATTCTCCCAGCAAGAATACTGGAGTGGGTTGCCAGTCCCTTCTCCTGGGGACCTTCCCAACCAGGGACTGAACCCACATCTCCTGTATTGCCTGTGGACTTTTTTTCCCTTACCACTAAAGACACTTAAATAACGTGCAGGTGCTGGTCTAGTGCTCTGCATTATTTCATTTAAACTGAATCATCGACAAAGGCAGAAAGTCATGGAAGCTGAAACACGTGAAGCCGTGAAATAAACGTCCGGCTGGACGGCTTCTTTCACAGGGTCCTGCACTCTCACACGGCTCCTTTGTGAACGTCGGCCCCATTCTCTCCCACGAGGAGTCACCGCACAAAGGGCCTCTCTTCTGCCTTCTGTTGCTCCTCTACCGTTTCTCGGAATCCTTCCCTGGCTGCCCCACTTGGCAGGCTTGCCCCCACTGTGGGGCCTTCTCACCGTGTTGGGTCCAGCTCTCTGGGTACGGGCCCTTCTGCCCCCACAGGGCCGACGTGGATGCTGTGTTCCCAGGGAAGGGCTGACGTGGTGGGCTCCCGCTGTTAAAACCGTCTGTCCTTTCTTGTTTGTTGTTCACATGGCTTAGTGATTCCCTGGCAGACAAAACCAGCCCATCGTGATGATGCTGGAGCTTCCCCTTGCTCGTAGGAGACGTTTGTGAAGTCTTAAGAAATCTGAAAGGTTTATTTTTCGAATATCGAAACAACATCCACACAGCAGTACTTTTATAACTTGAAAGCGTCCCAAGCCTTTAGGACAGTCTAAATGTTCTTCTCTTAATATGTGAAAACAAGGTCTTTTTTCAGTAGAGGAGTGGAGTGTGTTGTGTAAGAGACACTCAGCGAAGTTGCCAAGCGCCTCCTTAGAGGTGAACATGAACTTCCACTCGAGGCCGCAGGAGGAACAGAGCTGGAATGAATCTCCTTTCATTATGTTTTGGATGACTGCTTTCCATCTGCTTTCTTCAGGAGAACCCATAAGTAGCGAACACTTGCACAGAGCTGTCAACGTGAACGATGAAGATCTGTTGGTGCACATTCTGCAAGGAGGGTGAGAGACCTCTGCCTTTTAAACACTTAGGTCTTTTTAAATTCACGGCAGTGCTTAGAAGCTGGCTCCAAAATTGATCTCAGGTGACTGGTGTGAGTTCCGCCTGGTTCATAAGGACGGTCGTAGAAAGCCCCACATAAATGCCATTATTTAATGAACATTGAAGACAGAAATGCCAAGTCTGGGTGCCTCATTTTCCTCCCAGAAATAACTTATGATTTTTGCTTATATGCCATAGCATTTGGGCAAATTTCACCCCTAACTGCCCATGTCTAATTCCTGATGAAATTAACGAATCACTCAATCAGCTGTCTCTAATTCAAGTGACTGATAAAACCCTAGAGGGGAAATGGTGATCGTGAATGCCACAGATGGGCTATCCACAGCTGCTTCCTGAATGAAAAGGGGGTGATGTTACCCAGACCCTTTTTGAATTGATAGCTTTGCGTGTCTTAGAAGATGGGGCTTCCCTGGTAAAGAATGCCTGCAATGTGGGAGACCTGGGTTTGATCCCTGTTGGGAGAATCCCCTGGAGAAGGGAGCTGCTACCCACTCCATTATTCTGGCCTGGAGAATTCCATGGACTGTACAGTCCATGGGGTCGCAAAGAGTCGGACACGACCGAGCGACTTTCACTTAGAAGGCAGGTCATCTCTGAATTGAGGCTCTGTAAACTGGAGAAGAGAAGGTTCCTGCAAAAGGCCACAGCTTCCAAAGCTGCTATTTAAGAGCTTGGCTTGTTTCTCTGAGCAGCAGAGCTTCATGCCCAGTAGGTGAGACGGGATCAAGGGAGAACTGTGGCTCTCCCTCATTCCAGCCTCGTGTGGCAGGTGGAGCCGAAAGCCCGCAGTGCAGACACTGTGTCCTCTCCATAGTTTAGGGGGGCCTGCTTTTGGTGGAGGATTTTATCGAATTGCATAATGGTTCTGCATTGGAGAAAATGCCTATTTCAAGTGAAATTACAGCAATTTCCTCCTCTTTCCTTGTGAATTTGGATCCTTTAACGTATTAGGCAGGGCAGTCCAAGACAACAACAACTTAATGGCCTAGGAGGAGTTGGAATTTTCAGGAAAATGAACCATTCTAACCACCTGTGCTCTGCAAGAGAGGACAGCTGTGAATCCACGGAAGTGACGCAGGCGCACTAATCTCTCTTTCTCTGTGTTTTCCCCAAGCAACGTGAAGGTTGATGTTCCCAATAAATTTGGCTTTACCGCCCTGATGGTCGCTGCCCAGAGAGGATACACCAGGTATGGCCCTTCCCTGCTCACCACTTAGCGAAGGGTTGGGACCCTTGTTTGGGAGGGGAAAGGCTGTGGGGGTTCTCTTTCCGAAACTGTGCCACATGGGGGCTGAACACCATCTCAGTGGCTCTTATCATAACATCAAACAACATGCAGGGGAGGATATAATGTATAATCTCATGGTAAAGAAGAGAGGTGGCCATTTAAATGATATTTTGCAAGGTATTTTATATGGCCTGGGGAAACTGGTTATTGGAATATTAATTTCTTCATAAAGAAAAGGGGAGGTCTATTCATTCTGGAAAACAAACTTCTCTAGGTTGCTCAGATAAAATTTCCATGGACACAGTCCATTTTGTCTACTCCACACAGAGATAAGCATAAATACTAATATTTTTTCCATCATATTTATATTTTAACTACTAAAATGCCATTTTGAAATGAATAGAAAGTGGATTCCCATTAAATGCTACCATTTGAAAACATTTCAAATGGCTGTTAAAGTGACAACGAGTTGGTTTGATAGTCTGGTTTGTTTCATGTGGTAAAAATTTTTGTTTTCAATGAATAATTTCACATAAAGGGCAAAAACTTTTTTTTTTTGGTGTGGAGAGGCGGTTTCCCAGCTTAATAATAGCTGGTCTTTAAAGCCAGCTGCCTCTGAAGACGGATGAGAGTGTGTTGCCATGATAGATCTTAAATAGAGAGTTGTTCGTTTTTCCTGGGTTACCATGGGTTCTTACTCATCAAAGCTGCTTATCCAGTGGTACTGAAATTTGTTTTGTTTAGGCTTGTGAAAATCCTCGTTTCTCATGGCACAGATGTGAATTTGCAGAATGGAAGTGGCAAGGACAGGTAGGTGTGGGACCTGCCCTAAGTGGTCCTCATGCTTGTGTTATTGGGCTTGCTCCCAGAGGGTTTTCCACTGAACCCCAATATTTTCTTGTTTGACAGTACTGAGACGTGATAGGTTCCCAAAGGAAGGATGGTGACTCAAAAGCTGGCTTGTTCATTTGTTACTCATTGTTACATTCAATAGGGTAATTCCAGGGGTATCTACTGTAATGCGTCTTCCCTCCTTCGCTCAGAGCCCAGCACGCTCTCCGCGCCCCGTCAATGTTGGATGTTGAAATGGTTATCTCCAGCTGTGTGCTGGGCATTTGGCTGTGAGTGCCTGTGACACTTCAGAGCTCCCTAAGTGTCTCACGGCATCTCGCCAGACTCTGTTAACTGAAATCTTAGGTGCTTCCAGAGAAACGAACAATCATGACAGTGCAACTGGACAACCTCCCTGAGGTGGAAGGACCGAGTGCATCACAGGAGAAGTTTATGAAAAGAACATGATACTCACAAACTTGCTCTTATAATGATGAGAGAATTTTTTAGAAAGACTTAAAATTAATCATCCAGCTAGTCCCTGGAGAAGGAATTGGCAACCCACTCCAGTACTCTTGCCTGGAAAATCTCATGGACGGAGGATCTTGGTAGGCTGCAGTCCATGGGGTCGCAGAGAGTCGGACACGACTGAGCGATATAACTAACTGAACTCTAGTGATTGTTTAGTTAATTCAAATCAACCAATAGTTACTGAATGACTGCCACACGCCAGGCTCCACCGTGCTTGGCACTTGGTAGAACAGTGAACAAAATGCAAAGCCTCTGCTCAAGGAGCTTGTAGTCATGTGATGGATGTAGAGTAAAGGTGTCTGCACGGCAAACGGGTTTGCGAAGAGTGGCTGAAGACCCTGATCACGCCTGGGTGGCTGTGAAGAGAACATCAACTTCCAAAGTCAGAAAGCCTGCCTACTGCCCTCTCTGGACATAGTACAGCAACAGATTTTAGTAACATTGATACAATCACTTATACATGTAAACAGTAGTGTTTCAAGTAACTCTTAGGTAATTTTGGAACTAAACCACAATGGTGTGTGGTCACCCACCTAGAGTCAGACATCCTGGAAGAAAAATAATAGTGAAGAAAAATAATAGTGCCATAAAAAGGAAAAAGAAAAAGCTGAGAGGTACCCCCCAAAATGAATTTTTTAAAAATAGAAATTTATTAAAAATAAAAATTGTTGAGAAATAAAATGGACCAATTTCTTATAAATCTCAGAAGAAAAAATCAGAAATCTGAAATGACTCATAACAGAATAGAGAAAATTTAAACATGAAAAGAAAGTGGTACATTTGTGTCTAAAATAGATTTGATCAAATCATTGAAATGGGTACTTATTTTTTTTAGAGAAAATTGAAACCATTAAAATCAACCCAATAAGCAGAACATCTGAAATAACCCATATCCATACAATAAACTGGAAAATATATTAAAAAGATTACCTCCAAAATAGGTTCTGTGATCTGTCTGTTCTACTAATGAGCTTGTTCAGATTTTCTAGGTACTGATGGTAACCTTGAACTTTTCCAGAGCAGAGAGAAATTGGAAAGCTACAGAGGATAGCCTTATTGCTAAAATCTGGTAGAAAGAAAGCAATTTGCATGTCTTTATGTGAAGACATTTATGTATCTTTTCCATTCCAACTAAGGGGATCATGTAGGAGGGTACAGGTGTCTTGATTAGGAAACTTCTTAATATAATACTTCTCATAAGTAGACTAAAGGTAAAAACCTCTGTGTGTGTGTAGACTGATCCTCTCTTTCTGTACTTAATTTTTTTTTTTTTTTTTTGTAGCAATGACTTTTTGAGGAGATGGGAACAACTATCTTAGAGGATGCCCTATGTTTGTGATCTGCTCAAGAGTCTCCTCGGTGTGAAGGAGGCATTTAACTTGTTTGTTATTCCTAATAAAGTTAAATTAGGCTTAACAGATTGATTTGATTCAGGTTAACATCTTTAGCAAGAGCATCTCAGGGCCAGTGTTGTGACTTCAGTTTTCAGGGCTGTGATGCAGGTTGTCCCACAGTTGGATATTCTAGTTCAGATCCTTTGGTTAGGGTATAACAGCTAAATCCTTCTTTTACAAAGATAATAGTTTCCCATCGCAATTAGAAAATAATCTATGTCCTAGGAATTCAGTACCATGTGAATATCCTGTTCTCCATTAACCTTTCATACAAAAATTTTAGCATCCGCCATGATCCTTGCCCAAATCAGTTGTTTAATTGGGACTTGCCAAAAAGTGATTTTCTGATTCCATGATTCCTCCTGTATTTATTCACTGGTAGTCTTCTTTTAACAAGAGCTTTCCCCCACCAACTGAGGATGGACTCATTTTATTCTATAAACGTGACACAAATATTTATTTTAAGCACAATAAAATGTTTCTTTCAAGTATCAATATTTAGAGTAAGGATTTCATTTAATGGTTATCTCTAATAGTGTCCAGTGAGATTTTTTTTTTCTTTTCCTCTTTTAAATATCATCATGGACTGGTAGGTGTTTTTTAAATCTGACATTTTATGCAATTACAGTGATTATTCATTTTTTGGAGGTTTAATTCACATGCCATAAAATTAATTTTGCTAAAATGTACAATTCAGCCTTTAAAAATATATTAACAAAGTTGTGCAACCACCATTAATCTATAATTCCAGAGGATTTTCATCAATCCAGAAGGAAGCTCTGAATTAATTAGCAGTCATGCTCCATTTCCTCTCCCTCCAGCCCTGAAAACCACTAATCTGTCTCTATGGATTTGTCTATTCTGGATATTTAATATAAATGAACTAATACACCACATGGCCTTTTGTGTCTGGCTGCTTTTATTTAGCATAATGTTTTAAGGTGCATCTATATTGTAGCCTATTTCAGTACTTAATTTCCTTTTTATGGCTGAATGATATTCTATTGAATGGATATACCACAGTCGATTTATTAGTTAATAGACACATACATGTTATGTGAATAATTTTCTTGACTTTTCCACCCAAATTAGGATTTCTCTCTTAGGTTTAAACCAGGGAGGATACATAAGGACCTGAGTGTGGTGACTGCACTCAATAGCCAAATGTTTCTTCTGCTGTGTGTTGCAGTCTGATGCTTGCATGCTACGCGGGACACCTGGATGTTGTGAAATATCTCCGAAGACACGGTGCTTCCTGGGACACCAGAGACCTGGGAGGCTGCACAGCTCTGCACTGGGCTGCAGACGGAGGCCACTGCAACGTGATCGAGTGGATGATAGGCGACGGCTGTGAGGTATGGGGCCCTCCTCGTCAGCGGCACACGTGGAGTTGGGAACCTAAATGCCGTCCCACAGGGTTCAGGGGAAGCAGGACCTTATGTGGGCGCCTTTGATTGGTTGAGTTCTCTGACTTATGAGCAAGAAGGTTCCCGAAGCCTTGGGACCAAAAAAGATCATTATAGGATTTTTACGATAGTGAGGCTTCAGGTCGTCATGGAGGTTCAACTTGTATGGGGGGAAAAGGAAACCGTGCTGAATGAATGCAAAGCTGGACCTGATGTTGCTTCTGCTTTGTTTATTCTTTTGTTCATTTCCTCATTTATCTCTTTCTTTCCATCTGCCAACAGAGCTTGATTGTGTCTTGACCACATACCAGATACCAGGGGCTGGACATGCCGAGATGTTCAGAACTCTTAGAGTCACAGTGCAGCTTATTGCTTTTAGAATTAGATTATTTTTTATTCTTTTCTTTAAAGATGAATCATTACAAAAAATTTCCAAAGAGCAAATGCTATATCAAAAAGAGTGTTCCAGCTCTTGTGTCTTCACTTCAAAGCAGGTGTTGCTCTGGTTTCAAGTCATCAGAAAGTACAAACCCTACTTGTCAAATAGAATTAGAGTTGTCTGGATGTCTATAGATATTTGAAGTTGGGCAAATAGAATTAGGTCAATTATGGTAACTGCTGATAACTTTAAAAACTTCAGTTCAAGACGTCAAAGAAGTTAAATAAAAATTGTAGGGCATGGAAATAAGGAAAGATGGACAACATGCTGTCCTAATGGTGAGTGCCAGATGGTGCAGGGTTTTGAGAAGTTAAACTGATGACCTGGAAAATAAACTTGGAAGCAGGAGAGTTATGTCTCCTGGAAGATGTCTGTAGATTTGCTCAGTTTGTCTCTCAAGTGTGACTGAGGGCAAGCAAGACTTAAGCTATGGGATCTCACTGGTTATAGAGTGCTGAGGAGAGGGCCCCTTGAAGGAAAAATACCTCAGTCATTAAGATAAACCCCTTTTATTACATTTCTTGTTTTCTTTGTTTTAGAAATACGCACAAAAGGTCAAAAGGATTAGCCTGTGTGCCTTGGTGGTTAGGGCCGGCCCATACCTGCTGTGGGTGGGAGTGACAGTCATATTCCTCTTCTCTGGTTTATGATGAGTTCTGCTCATGTTTCGGACCCAGTAAGAGTCTGTAGTTGAAAATGATGGTTGACCTTTGCTGAAAGAAGGGCAGGTCTCTGCTGTCGACATTTAAATACTGGGATTTTGGAAGTGCAGGGCTTCGGGTATGGACACACTCATTTGGGGTGAATACCATCTTTTTCTGCAGAACTGCAGCTCCATAAATGTGTCCATGAAGGTTTCTGTGTGACTGGCCAGTGGCAGGTAGATCTCAGCACAATGGTGGGATGGGCCTGGGAGCAAATCCATCATCACCCTCTGCTTGAATCGAACGATCTGTACTGAGTGTGACTTATTTCCATGGGGAACCATTTCTACAGTTAATGAGCCATGTGACCTCAGGAAGGCCATTTGACTTTTCTGAGGTTTGGTTTAAACACGTGTAAACCAGGAATAAATATAGCGACCCCTGTTTCACCTTCAGGACCCAAAGAGAAAATGTGCAGCAGCGTGCACTGAAAATGTTTACAGCACCCTGTAATTTCAGGCAATTACTTCATTATTATTTAACTGTAACCAAGCTTGCTGCTCAGAAAGGTTATTTGTTATTTGCAGGAGGAAGAGCTGCAAATCTTAACGATGTTGCAGAGGGTAATCTCAAATATACAAATCACCTGCAAGGTCTTAAAGCTCTTCTGGCAGTTCCTTGTTTGTTATTCTGGTCTGATGTTTTACTGAAGCTATAGGTTTCTTTGAGTAATTCTTCTGTAACAGAATTAGAGGGGTGTATGTGTGTGTGTGTGCATGCGTGCATCCAGGCATCCATCTGTGTGCACATGTGTATGTTTACTTCAGTACCATGCCTCATGGATTGATGAGGTCTTCACAGAATTGGAGGGGACATTTACATTCCCTTATTTTAACATGTCTTTTAAAGCACAAAATTGCGAGATATTGGTGTAGGGTAGGTTATTGGGAAACGGTCCATCTTGTTAGCAGGCAAGCTCTTGTTTTGGAAGGCATTAGGTTGGCTAATTTTTCAGGCTGGACTTCATGTGAGAGATCTGGTTGCTTTGTATTTACCTGTGATTCTTCTGCTTAAAATTAATACCTATTGGTAAATATCAGGGTGGGTGTTTATATTCCTGTCTTGTTCCAGAAGGGACTTAAAGTCGCTTACAAAGATACTTAAAATAAGAAGCAGAAACTGTAAAAACAGGAGAGGAAAGTTAGGCAGGAGAAAATAAGGCAGCTCACATAGGGCCAAGGAGAAGGGGATTATGTTCATTTTTCTATTCCATTTTCTTTCCATTTGAACACAGTGTAAATGAAGATGCCCTTGGGTGGGGAGAGGCATCTTGGGGCCTCTCTGAACTCTTTAAAGTGGTCCAAACACAGATGGTCGCTGTGTAAATGTGAACAAAGTCAGCACAGTCCAGCTGATCATCACTAGGTCTCTAAAGACTGCTATCTAAATTGGGGGAATTTGGGCAAGTAGACATTGCTTTATAAGTGTCCCACGAGGGACGTGCAGGACAAGAAAGCGGGCTGAGAGCCACTCGCCCTGGGGCTCCACAGGTGGACGTCGTGGATGCTGGTTCCAGGTGGACCCCACTCATGAGAGTCTCTGCAGTCTCTGGGAACCAGGAGGTTGCCTCTCTGCTGATTGACGCAGGTGCAGATGTGAATGTGAAGGACAAAGACGGGAAGACCCCTCTCATGGTACGACTTATTCCACGCAGCAGCTTGGCTTGACGTGTGGGATTAAGGTCACAGCTGCCCCATAAGAGCCTTTCTTTTGAGGTCTGCTGCATAAAAGCACCAGGTTTGGGTGGCGTATGTATTCCCCACTGGCCTGTGAATTAAGACATGGTGATGTCATCATGGCATTTTTTTTGGGGGGGGGGGCGGGAGCCCAGTCTAGTATCTTTGTAGCCTTTTTACAACTATTTCTTGAAGCATTGCAAACCCCAGCCTCTGGGGCCATTTTGGGATCGGAACAAAGCAGTGCTGTTCTCTGTCCAGGGTTGGCCTCGGATGTGTCATCATACATGGAGGGAAGCAGATTTCCTCTCCCTTTCCCTTGAGTTTGCCGGCGCTGTGCAGTGGGGTCCACACACCCATCCTGCAAAGCCCCAGTGGCCCCTGCTGGCTCTGCCTCTGAGGGTGTTGCTGGTGGATGTGCCGGACCCGCCTGTACTGAGATCCCCTTCCTGCTCACACCCCACTGTTGACCTGTTTTCTAGGTGGCCGTGCTGAATAACCACGAAGAATTAGTCCAGTTACTTCTTGACAGAGGGGCAGATGCAAGTGTGAAAAATGAGGTATGTGACTCCATCTCCATCTCAAGATTTTCCCTGGAAGGGAGGAGGGAACAGAGGCCCGAAAGAATTTTTTTTCTTCTGGTTTTGTCTTTCAGTTTGGCAAAGGCATCCTCGAGATGGCCAGAGTTTTCGACAGACAGGTTGGGATGTTGTTGCTGCCTGTTGAGGCTAATTTTGTAGCATTTAAAAAAAAATTAAAAAACCCCAATCCTTGGATTACATGGACCTGTTTTTGTTTATCTAGAATGTCCTCTCCCTATTAGAAGAAAGGAAAAGAAAGCAAATGCCAAAGAAGTCATCTATTCGCTGACCAGGGCACCTCTTTCTTCCCTCTCAAAGCCGAGTGAAACAAAGCAAAGCGGGACTTGAACTGGAGAGAAGGAATTCTGCGTCTCTGAGGGCTATACATTTGATTACTTATTTAATTGAAGATTCACAGTGACTTTTGTAACATACAACTGTTCCCACTTTGAAATACACTTTTACCTAAATGTGCGTGGCAGTGGTGTTTTCACTGGGTGTCTGCAGGATGAGGATGTTTTCCTGAACTTGAAGTTACACATGAAACAAAATATTTAGGTCCTAGAGATGGAGATGCACAACCACACACCAGTCTCCCTCTTCCCGCCCCCGCCCTCCAAGCTGTCTGTCCTCCGAGCCACCCTGGGAGCTGGTGGAAATTCCTGCCCTCGTGTGTTTTCCGTTCTGTCCTTCCCTCCCCACCTAAGGCCTTGCAGCCGTGTTGCCAGGTGGTGCTCCCTCCTGGAGGGACGCTCCTCCAGAAAGCCCAGGAGGCCATGAGCAGAGTTTTCTGCTCAGCTGTTGGCCTCACATCAAAGCACGAGATACATATTTCAAGACTCTGCTTCTGCTGTTAGAGGAGGCTTTTTAGAACAGCCTGGTCTGAGGACGTGTTTGCATAGACTCAGGCCCTGGCAATGAAAGACCTGGCCTGCCAGCCTGCTGACAGCTTTGCCAAAGAAGAGTTTTATTTCATTGAGTCCTCAGAGCAGAAAGGGTTTTGATGCTGATCGCTCAGATCCGAGACAAAAGGAATGGACAGGGGGCTCAGACACAAACGTGTTGGTGCTTGAACTCAGCGGACACACTTGGAATCGGCAAAGAAGGGAGCTAGCTGACCACATGCCTTTTGTGTCTCCAGAGAGACGAGCTGGTTAACTCGGCCCCGAGAGAAGATGGGCTACAGAGGTCTGCCCGGGACAGGAATCTTCTCTGCAGGGAAAGACCAACTCACAGGTAGTAAAAGTGCCGAAACTTTGGGGGAAGGGCATGGGGCAAAAACACACAATCAATTTTATTGATGTTGGCAATTCTCCACTTTGTTCCGTACTATTTATAGAATGGGTTTCCCTGGTGGCTCAGTGGTAAAGAATCTGCCCGCAGTGTAGGAGAGGCAGGTCCGATCCCTGGGTTGGGAAGATCCCCTGGAGGAGGGCATGGCAACGCACTCCGGTGTTCTTGTCTGAAGAATCCCATGAACCATGGGTCTCATGCAGTCCTCCTCTTAGCTGTTTCACTAGTGTTCTACCTTTCGTATAAATGCTTATTCCTCTAGATTTAAAAAAACCCCTCTATAAATCAGAGCATTATCACAGCTCTCCAAGGCTCCTTTCTCCCCGTCGTAATCCGTGTTGACTTTCACCTCACCTTCATTTCTCCATCTGTTGTAGATGATAGTCACGAGCCCTGGAAAGAGGGAATGGTCCTTCTTGTGGGCCTCAAGCTTGGCCACATAATGGGGCTGACTTTGGTCAATGAAGTGTGCGTGGAAATAGCTCCTGCCCATCCAAGGGGGAGCTTTAAGGACCCCCAGGTCCCTCTTCCCTCTGTCACAAGACCAGCCATGACTCATAAAGGCTGCTTCACAGCCCAGGGTCCTGACACCAGAGCCTAAGCTCACCCAGAACGGACATGACGTGAGAAATAGTCCTTTCAAGTTGCAAGTCACTGAAATTGAAGAGTGGCTTGTCATTACAGTGTAACCTAGCCAAAAACGAGTGCTTGGAAGGTCCTAACATAGATCTGTGAATCACATTTTCCACTGAAGTACCTCTCAAGTCCTGTGGTTTCCAGTTTTACTTGATTCACACTTTCTCTTCCTTTCTTCCTTTCTTTCTCTTGCCTTTCCTTTAAATTCTGACTTTTTAAAACTCAGGAATGGGTGTTGAATTTTATCAGTTTTTTTTTTTTAGCATCTCTGCTAATCATATTTTCAACGTGCTATCAGTTTGCTGACTTGGATTACTAGATTTTAAAGTATTGAACCATCCTTATATTCCTGAGATGCTCTTGTTGGGTTACAGTGGGCTTCTGGGTTCCGTGTGCTCATGTGCTGTGTGTGTTTGCTTTTTAATCTTTTTCCTTATTAAGACTAGATGGTGGTTTATCTTCTGTTTTTAATTTTCCCGAGGAAGAACCCATGCTGTTATTAGTTTTATTTTTCCCAATTAATTTATACTTTTCATTTCTGAACTGGTATTCCCTCTGGGCTGAAGATCCCAGGAAAGGCCATGAGCGGTGGATCATCAAAAGCACTGCAGGTGGGTGCCTATAATTCAAGGAGTCTGAGAAACACGGCTGTAGAGTGTGCTGTCATAATTGGTCTCATTTGCTATTTGTTACATAATCTGCTATTCACCTTTGACTCAAGAATCATTGCATTTCTAGGACATAGTTTTTATGCCTTCTACCATTATAATCTTCAGAATTTGAACCATTCAGATCTGAGTTTTACTTCATGCATTAATATACAAAATTATATAATTTTTCCAGAGGCATTTTGAAAGGTGCATGCATATTCTGTATGTTTGAAGTATCCTATTTGACATAAATATATATGTGTGTATATATATATATCAATTGATCCACACTATTAGCTATGTCTGAGGCCTTCTATGTATGTACTTTCTGTTACTTGCTTTGTCATGGGTGGAAGGTGGGAAGAATAAGGACCCTTGTTATCATCCTGGAAATTTGTTTTCTTTGTATTTAATGAAGTTCTTTCTGAAATTGGAGGCTATGTTAAAAAATTGTAATAGATTCCCATTGCACTTAGATTTTTACTCTTCTGTGTAAATATTTCTAGTCCTGCTTGCCTTCTTTCTGAATTTCTCTCTTCTATAAGGTGAGTTTTAAAACTTTATTTTGGTAAGTTATATATCACATTGTTCAGAAAAACTATTAGGTCTCCCTGCACCTCTAGTACGGGCGTCCCTGGTAGCTCGGCTGGTAACTGGACTTCCCTGGAGAAGGCACAGGCTCCCCACGGCCCCTGTTCCTGGGCGTCCCTGGTAGCTCGGCTGGTAACTGGACTTCCCTGGAGAAGGCACAGGCTCCCCACGGCCCCTGTTCCTGGGCGTCCCTGGTAGCTCGGCTGGTAACTGGACTTCCCTGGAGAAGGCACAGGCTCCCCACGGCCCCTGTTCCTGGGCGTCCCTGGTAGCTCGGCTGGTAAAGAATCCGCCTGCAATCCAGGAGGCCTGGGTTCGATCCCTGGGTCGGGAAGGCCCCCTGGAGATCGGGCATGGCAGCCCACTCCAGTATTCTGGCCTGGAGAATCCCCATGGACAGAGGAGCCTGGTGGGCTACAGGCCAGGGGGTCGCACAGAGTCGGACACGACTGAGCGACTACGCACAGCACAGCACACCTCTACTGTGTGTGTGAAAAGGCACACAGACATCTTCCCTCCTCATCCCACCCCCTGATGGGCGCGTGTGGATTGCAGCATTCATTTCCTGACCCTCCAGCTCACCACCCTTCCTAAGGTTCTTGCTGTTTAGTTGCTAAGTCGTGTCTGACTCGCTTTCGACCCCACAGACTGTAATCCGTCAGGCTCCTCTGTGGGATTTCCCAGCAAGAATACTGGTCGGGTTGCCATATCCTTCTTCAAGGGGTCTTCCCAGCCCTGGGGTTGAACCTGGGTCCCCTGCACTGACAGGCGGACTCTACTGCTGACCCACCAGGGATGCCCCTGTTAGATTCTTATGCATCTCATGCATCTATAAATGATTAAGAATACAGATACATTTTCCAACTTGAGCCCCCCGCCCCTACTTTGGTAAAAATCTCAGTAATGAATGGGACACCTCTTTATATTGACCTGTATACCATTTATTGGATATAATATTCATAACAATGATTTTTTTTTCCTATGGAAATAGCAAGTTGTGTTACCTGTAGACCCCCCGATATGAGAAATGTGTACAAAGGTAACAGACTGTAACATAAAAAGGTAAGTGAAAAAAAAAATTAGCAAACCAAAGCATGATACATGGACGAAGCACTATAAAAATGAACGTACTGGTTTAGGAGCTGTAACTTTGTACTGTGCTGAATAGCCTGTAGCCAGGTTTTAGAGAGTTCTACTTCCGTGCCACACACGTTCAAACAGTGCACTTTCCTTCGAGCTTCCCCACTTGACCTGACAGAGCAGCGAGCTCTGATGTGGCTCGCCCTCCATGGACTCTTAAGGGATTTTCTCTTTCTAGTTGGATTTTTTTTTTTTTTTCTCTATCACTGCCCTTCCCACTTAAGTACTTGCTTATAGGCCATAAACATAGGATCACATGAGATTTTTTCCTTTTGTCTGCATTTAAAATGTGCTAAATTAAGGACTAACAAAACTATCTCATGGAAGGAGTATCACAGGTAATGACTTCTGAAGAGGATGTGGAAAAATCAGGGTTGGTTACAGAGTACTGAACCTGGAAAAGCTGAATGGTACTGAAAATTCATGTATTAAATCTTCCAGCTATCACTATCGATTGTTGGCTTTTATGACAATTTTATACGCAGGGTTTCTTCCCCTGCTGTCTCATATGGATCAGGCTCTTACTGGCTGGGCTCTAAGCTGCCACTGGTGTCCCGAAAGAAAAGAGGGGGTTTCCTTTATGAAATGCAGAGAAATGGTCCATTCCTGTGCAGGTCAATGGCTTCTGGAAGCATCGCTGCACAGAAACGGTTCTCAGCCTTCTCTTTAGCTCGTTGTTACTCATATGACTGTCAAAGTTTTCAAACAGGTTTAAAAGAAAGAGATGGAGAGTGAGTCGAGAGACTTTCGGTCATCACAGGCAAACTGAGTTCCTATGGCCAACTCTCCCTTTTAATTAGAGTAGTCTTTAGGCTGGAGGTGCCTGGGGGAGGGGGATGCTTTTGGATTCCCCGCTGGGGTGGCAGAGCGGGGAGTGGGCAGGGTTGCTCCCAGCTGTGGCCCTAGAGAAGGCTGGGCTTTGGGGGGACTTGTGGGGCAACCAGCAAACTGCAGAGATGTGTGGGAGACTGGGTTAGGG